GAAATTGAGTCAGTAATAAAGGCCCTCCAAACGAAAAAAAGCCCAGGACACCGGATGGCTTCACTGCTGAATTCTACCAAACATTTAAAAAAGAACTAACTTCAATTCTTCTCAAACTATTTAAAACAATTCAAAGGGAGGGAATCCTCCCAAATGCCTTTTCTGAAGCCAGCATCACCTTAATTCCTAAATCTGGAAAAGATGCAACAGAGAAAGAAAACTATAGACCAAGTTCCCTTATAAACACAGACACAAAATTCCTCAACAAAATTCTGGCCAATCGCATTCAGCAACACATCAGGAAGATCAGTGACCCAGACCAAGTGGGATTTATCCCTGGTATGCAGGGGTGGTTCAACATTCGCAAATCAATGTGATACACCACATTAACAAATCAAAGACACAAAAACCATATGATTATCTCAAATAGATGCAGAGAAAGCATTTGATAAAATACAACACTCTTTAATAATGAAAACTCTAAGCAAGTTTGGTCTAGAAGGAACATTCCTCAACATAATTCAGGCAATTTATGACAAACCCACAGCCAGCATTCTATTAAATGGGGAAAAACTGAGATCTGGAACCAGACAAGGATGCCCACTCTCTCCATTGCTATTCAATATAGATCTGGAAGTTTTTAGCCAGAGCCATCAGGCAAGAAAAAGAAATCAAAGGGATTCAGATCAGTAAGGATAAAGTCAAACTATCCTTATTTGCAGATGATATGATTATATATATATATGGGAACAAAAAGACTCCACTAGGAAACTACTAGAACTCATAAAAGAGTTTAGTAAAATAGCAGGATATAAAATCAACACGCAAAAAAGAACAGCCTTTTTATACACAGATAATGCCATGGCTGATAAAGAACTTCTAAGATCAATGCCACTCACAACAGCTACAAAAAAATTAAGTATCTTGGAATAAATTTAACCAAGAAGGTCAAAGATCTCTATGACAAGAATTATAAAACTCTAAAGAAAGAAATAGAAGACATAAAAAAGGGAAAAAACTTCCATGTTCATGGACCAGAACAATCAATATCATTAAAATGTCCATTCTTCCAAAAATAATTTACAGATTAAATGCAATACCAATCAAAATACCAAAGAAATTCTTCTCAGATCTAGAAAAAATGATGCTGAAATTCATTTGGAAACACAAGAGGCCTCAGATAGCTAAAGCAATCTTATACAACAAAAATAAAGCCAGAAGCAAAACAATACCAGATTTCAAGACATACTACAAGGCAGTTATAATCAAAACAGCCTGGTACTGGTACAAAAACAGATGGAGAGACCAATGGAACAGAACAGAAACACCAGAGATCAACCCAACCATCTACAACCAACTTATATTTGACCAAGGAGCTAAAACCATTCCCTGGAGCAAGGACAGTCTATTCAACAAATGGTGCTGGGAAACTGGATGTCCAAATGCAGAAGTATGAAGAAGACCCCTACCTTACACCTTACACAAAAATCCATTTAAAATGGATTAAAGACCTAAATCTACAACCTAATACTATCAAATTACTAGAGAGCATTGGGGAAACCCTGTAAGGCATCAGCCTAGGCAGAGTTCCTGGAAAAAACCCAGAGGCACAGGCAGTAAAAACCAAGATTAACAAATGGGACTACATCAAACTGAGAAGCTTCTGTACAACAAAAGAAACAGTCAGGAAAGTAAAGAAACCAACAGAATGGGAAAAATTATTTGCAAACCATGCAACTGATAAAAGATTAATAACCAGAATATACAAAGTGATCAAAAAACCTCAAGAATAGTAAACAACCCAGTCAAGAAGTGGGCAAAGGACTTAAATAGACATTTCTCAAAAAAGGAAATCCAAATGGCCTACAGACACATGAAAAATGCTCAGGATCACTAGCCATCAGGGAGATGCAAATCAATACCACAGTGAGGTTTCACCTCACCCCAGTTAAAATGGCTTTCATACAGAAATAAACAAACAACAAATGCTGGTAAGGATGTGGGGAAAAAGATACCATAATCCACTGTTGGTGGGAAGGCAAACTTGTAAAGCCATGATGGAAGACAGTTTGGAAATACCCCAAAAATCTGAATCTAGTTCTACCATACAGCACAGCCATCCCACTCCTAGGAATGTACCCAAAGGAAATGAAATCAGCAAATAAGAGTCATCTGTACCTCCATGTCTAATGCAGTTCAATTCACAATAGCCAAGACATGGAATCAACCTAAATGCCCATCAAGGGAAGACTGGAGAAAGAAACTGTGGGATATGTACTCTATGGAATTCTACATAGCAGTTAAAAAAAATGTAATCAATCATTTACAGCTAAATTGATGAATCTGGAAAATACCATACTTAGTGAAATAAGCCAGTCCCAAAGGGACAAATATCGTATGTTCTCCCTGATCTGTGACAACTAACAAAGCACCTACAAGAAAACCTGTAGAAGTGAAACTGACACTATGAAAAACAGTGTTTCTGAATTGCCCATGTCTTGAATTGCCCTTGTCTTGACTGTCCAGGAATAGTTTATCATTTCATTTTATTTACTTATTTATTTTTACTCTTTTTTTCACTACTTAATACTATTGGTTGAACTCCTTGCTTAACACAGAATTAATCATAGATGTATTAAGTCAATTGAAAATAGATCCCAGTTGAAAGTAAGAGTGGGAATCAGAGAGGGAGGAGCTGTACAGGTCAGCACACATTCCCACAAACCTACCCCAAAGGGTGAAGCTAAAAACTTGCCATGGGACTCCAAATCTCACTTAGCTGGATGGCACTAATCCCATCTTATGTGATAAAGTGATAACATATTAAGCATGCAATTGATCATATAGATAGAACCATAAGTCAAAGGAATCACATAAATAAGACCAAGTGTCTGGTAATAAAAACAGATAGAATTATAAAGGAAAGAAAGTTCCAACATGGGAAGCAGTCCACACGGCAGACTCAGAGAATGACAAACATCCTAAATAGCACTTTGACCTCAGAATCAGCCCCTAAGGCATTTGGATCTGACTGAAAATACAATGAGAACATTCCAGGCCTGGAAAGCCAAGACAAAGAAGCAAAAACGGTTCTGCATGAAAGATCTCTGAATGAGATCCCAGTGGAAAGAAGGGGCCGTCACAGGATAATGTACTTTTCTCTGAAGGGAGGAGAGAACTTCCACGTTGAATATGGCCCTGTCTAAAAACCGAAAGTTTCTGGACTCAAAAGGTTTCCATAGTCTTGGCAGCTCATGTCAAGAGCTTCGGGTGATCACTGATGTCATAAATAAGTGTCAGCTGTTAAATCAACAACAGGAGTCACTGTGCACTTGCTCCCCATGTTGGACCTCTGTCCTTAATGAGATGTACTATAAGAATTAACAGTAAAACTTGTCTTCAAACTGTACTTTATAGTTTGTGTGTCTGTGTGGGTGCAAATAGTTGAAATCTCTACTTAGTATAGAGTTGGTCTTCTGTATATACAGTCAATTAAAAATGAATCTTAATGGAAAATGGAATGGGAGAGGGAGTAGGAGGTGGGATGGGAGTGGGGGTGGGTAGGCAGGAATGGGAGGAAGAAACAATATATCCCTAAAAGAAGTACACATGAAATTTGTATTCATTAAATAAAAACCCTCAAAAAAAAAAAAGTAAGAAACAACAGAACACTACAAATCAGTATTAATTAGAAAGCAAGGAAATGTTTTTTGGAAATTAATAAATACAACAATGTCGAAATTCAATTCAGGAGTTACAAGACAAAGCTGAGGAAACAGTAAAGGAACAGAGACATGACCCATTGAAATCTTGACAATCTTTTATCACACGGGTGTTTTCTGAAGTTCATTTGTTGAAACAAAAAGTCCATCCCCTTAAGTGTTAAACTCTGATAAGTACAGACTAAAATCTAAATTTAACAAGATTTCCTTTATCAATAAACTACCTGCAATAAGCTAAAGTTTTATCATTTAACTGTCTTTATTTCTAGACAGTAGAGCTATAAATCAAGATTACAACAAATAGATCAATAACACTGTATTCAAGATGAAAAGGTTCATAGTTTAAGTGTGAACTCAATTTCTGTCAAGCATAAAAGTACACATGCATTTTCTAGAAGAATTTCTTGGGATGAAAGGTCTAACTTGTGTTTTAAAAAATCTATAACAAGAATAAAGGCCCTAGAATTTAATATCAGCCATTAAAATAACTAAATCCACTACTCTTTTATTAAACACCCATCGCCACTCAGCTACAAAGATCACAATGTGTATTTTTTAGCAGTTTTGAGAAATTTTTCTCCAAATGTCCTCTGTGCAAGTACTATACTTTCAAATTGTAGTTTATCTCAAAAATGAAGGTAAATTATTAGATAGCAGAGCATCTTTAAAAATTCCCAAATAAGAATTTGTTCCATAATCCAGACCTGAAAACAAAAGTTAGGGCAAATAAATTTTATAAAAATTTCAGTTTGAAATCTTACATGTTTATCTTTCCTTTCTATAATATCTTGCTTTTGTTTGCATTTTTGAGATGTTTCCTTAATATCTGTTGCCTGTAAGATTGAAGCAGAGAGAGAAAAATTAGTAAAACAGTCAGTTAGGCGGCCTTATCCATTTAAATACTGTTTTGTAAATTAATACACAACAGTTATTTTTCCATAATTTATTTCAACCAAATTCATAATTATCAAAAATACCTACAGCTATCTTATTGGTATTTAAAAATGGTTTAATGTAGTATGCATGTGTATGTTTATTTGCTCAAATTTACTTTCCCATGTTATTTTATATGATCCTGAATACAGTACTACAGGATTGTCAAGAGATATTACTGCTTTTGTATACCCAAAGAAAACTAAACTCAAAGGGAACAAGACACCCACATGTATAGCTTTAAAATAAAAAACTAAAAAAAAACTTCTAATATCCAAAATCAGGTCTTGTTTCAAATATGGGGTTCTAATACAGATTTTAACACATATCACACATCAATAAAACATAAAATATGTAATCCAAGCATAGTATAGAACACAGCTGAATAGAAAAGAATTAACACTGCAGGCTTGAGAGTCCTCTTCTTAGAAAGGCTACCTTACAAGGCTGGGCCTTGGCTGTCTTCTGGGAAACTGCATTTTGGGAATGTTTTCAACATTTCCTATCTTAAAGGAGTGGCTCACGATACCTGCTTGTATAACCAATGCGACTGAATCTGAACACTTGGTTTCCTTCCCGGAGTCTGGAATTTTAGTTTGTGCTGTCAGAATGCAAAGATGTTTAATCCCCATGAAAACCTTGTGTAATGACAGCACAGCAGAAGTGGTGTAACAATTTGATGGTGGAGGAATTCACAATCTGTGTGACTTCACTGGGAAAGCACCTCTGCACCCTTGTGCCTGGCTTCCTCAGGTCTTTGTCCTAGCACATTTCCCGCTTACTGATTCTGCTTTGTAACTTTTTGATGTAATAAATCTTAGCTGTGAGTCTTGCTGGTAAATTACTGAACCTGCAGTGGATCCCCAGTCAAGGAGTTGATTCTTTTTTCCTATAAAGGGAAACTAGTATTTACTGAGTGATTATAAGCTAAACACTAAGGCTGGCTAAGTAAAGATGTCTTAAATAATAAAGACTAATTTGTAAGATGAAAATCACTACTATCATCCTTATCTTACTAAAGAGGAAAGAAAAGCTCAATGAGATTAAATAACTTGCTCAAGACCAGGCAGTTACTAAATGGGAGAGCGGGGATTTAAAATATAGATCTTTGCGAACCCAAAACCTGTGCCCTGTTAACACTCATAATCTCCCTGACTAGAATGTTAAAAAAAAAACAAAAAAAAAACAAAACTACATACAAGAGTTGGAAAATGCATTCTGCTGGAACAGAAGTAACAAAAGGGACAAGAATAGCATGAACACTAACTAAAGTTAACCATTTTGACCTGTTGCATGGCTGTGAGTGCCAATAAATTTTTTAAATATAGCCTGGTATAAACATGATACTTTACAATCAATAATCACTTCCTCAGAAAAACAATTACAAAATATTTTAGGCTACTAGACTTTCACATAAACAAAACAGGCTCATGGACATCAGACAATACCTTAATAGCCATGCTTCCATTAGGGACAAGCAAAACAAAAGGTTTAAATTAATGATTTGGAACCCACTATATACTTTTTCCCCCTTAATATACAAGTAATAGTTTAGCAGTAACAGAAAACTCAAGAATCAGAAAAATATATTACAAATACATAATTTAGCTACAACCAACCACTATTAACTAGAAAATGACTTAAAACTACATCCTTTGTTACCTCTGGAATTTAGTATTCTTAACTATTAAATGAGGGGACTTGCCTAGATAGTATCCATTATCCCCTCTTGTGCTAACATTTAAAGTGATTAACAGTAATCCATTTCTAAAAATCAGATCCAATCAAGTCCCCAAATCCTCACCTGTTTAATGATTAATCTTTCAAATTAAGATACAGTGGTGCTTTTGCGACATGATAGCAGCAAAGTAAAAACTACTAATTCCTTTCCTCTGCTAGAGTTCCATATAACTGCTTTTCTAACAAATTTTAGAATTTATATTACTCATATTTGTATACTGAATGGTCCACACCAATTAGAAATCTTAAAATCAGTAACAACTTACAGTAGCATTTCATGAGAATAAAATACAATTTTTAAAAAAAGAGAAAGACAAGATGACTATAAAGAAAATACTAGAAAGTTTGCAATATACAATGATATGATCTTCCAGTAAAGGAAATCAAGTTTTATACTAATTTTTTTTCTAATAACAATGCCAGGTTGAAATTCTCCCTTTACAATCACTGAGCACAGTGGCCAGATCTATCATGAATACAGTGAAAATGGTTTTCTGGTTTCATAAAATGAACCTTCATATAACATGAATTCCATTGGTCTAATTACAAAGTACTCTACTTATTTGAGAAAACTGATCAATTTATATCCAAAGTTCTTAGGAAGGTGTTAATATCATGACATCTGTGAAAACAAAACTGTGGCTGCTTACAATGCATTACTGCAGTCACCCTTATCTGTGGTTTTACTTTTTCTGATTTCAGTTGCCTGAGGTCAACCATTGTCCATCAATACCACATGGGAAACTCCAAAAGTTGGGGCTGGTGTTCTGGTGCAGCACGTTGAGCCAATACCCCATAGGAGTGCTGGTTTGAGTCCCAACTGCTCTATTTCAGATCCATCTCCCTGATAATACACCTGGGAAAGCAGAGAAAGATGTCCCAAATGCTTGAGCCCTTGCCACTCACTGGGAGATCTGGAAGGAGTTTCAGGCTCCTGAGGCTTTGGTATGGCCCAACCCCAGGCATTATATCCATTTGGGGGATAAACCAGAAGATGCTGTCTGTGTGTGTGTGCCTCTTCCTCTCTCTCTGTAACCCTGCCTCTCAAATAAATATTTTTGAAATATAAATTAAAAAACACTCCAGAAATAATAAGTTTTAAAGTGCATTGTGTCATGAATAGCAAGGCAAAATCGCGCTTCCTTTGCCTAACATACTCATGCTGTAGCTGGCTTGGTCATTAGACTGATGATGGCAGTGCTTATGTTCAAGGAATCCTTGCTGCACTTAATAACAGCCCCAAAATATAAAAGTTGTTATGCTTGGGGCCAGCGCTGTGATGCAGCAGATTAATGCCCTGGCCTGAAGCGCCAGCATCCCATATTGGTGCCAGTTCTAGTCCCGGCTGCTCCTCTTCCAATCCAGCTCTCTGCTATGGCCTGGGAAAGCAGTAGAAGATGGCCCAAGTCCTTGAGCCCTGCACCCGCATGGGAGACCTGGAAGAAGCTCCTGGCTTCGGATCGGCACAGCTCCGGCCGTTGTGGCCATCTGGGGAGTGAACTAGCAGATGGAAGACCTCTCTCTCTCTGTCTCTACCTCTCTCTGTAACACTTTCAAATAAATAAAACAAACAAACAAAAAAAAGTTGTGTTGCTAACACTTCACATATGCCACAGAGAAGTAGTAAAGTGCTTCTTTCAAGTGAAAAACAGAGTACACGGGGTTTACTGCACCCCACGGTTTCAAGCATCCAGGTCATGGAAATCCTCCTTCACAGGTGAGTGGGCACTACTGTGTCCCTGAAGCAAGGATTTAAGACATTCTCAAAAGAGTATTCAACCCCAAATCAAAGCCCCTTAAGGATTAAAAGCCACGATCACTTTTTTAAATTAAGTTTTGAAAACATAAGAAATACTCTACTATATTATCTATTCTGAAAAATATCAGATATTCTGTAGCATCCTCCTCCAAAGGGTGTGTAATTGCAAAGCAGAGGTAATAAATTTATAAAAGGCACTCAGCATATTTTTAGGAATAATACGGACTACACTTGTAATTAAAACAATCCCATTTCATTTTTCTCTTTTGGCATCTGGGAATTTCTATAAAGTAGCAATCCTCCAACATTAGGTCCTTGAACCCTACAGCAATAGTTAAAAACCTTAAGTTAGTTAATGAATATAAGAATAAAAGCTACAAGGAAGCCTCAGAAAATATTTTGAAAGAGCTGTTAAATATTTTTATATTTGCTAAAATAAAATTCAGATAATCCAAAATAGAGCCATAAAAGTACCTTTTCTTTGATCTGAGCCTCCAAAACATGACGCTGCTTTTCAATTTCTTCCATTCGACGTGTCATAGGAATCTGCCCTTCTTTAAGTTTTCTGACCTCTTCCTTCACTCGATCACGAGCTTGTTTCACTTCTTCATATTCCTGACGAACATTTTCATATTCCTTGCAAATAATTAAATAAAACTTAACTAACACATATACTAAAATCAAGGTACAGGCATAAACCAAATGATAAGACTGACAGGATAACTGGTATAAAATTTATCCTCAGTAGAAACTTCAGAAACAGTAAATAGCAACAGCAGCATTTATCTCTATCACTAGACCAGACCTTCCCACTTCGGTTTGCTTCTGAAAATTACATCCTAATTGCTATTAAAATTAGATTTTCTTCTATTATCTCAGTAAGGAAAGGATATAGGGATGTTTAAAGAAGCATAAGAAACTCAGTAAGAGGGGCCGGTGCTGTGGCGCATCAGATTAACGCCCTGGCCTTAAGCGCCGGCATCCCATAGGGGCGCCAGTTCGACACCCGGCTGCTCCACTTCCAATCCAACTCTCTGCTGTGGCCTGGGAAAGCAGTGGAAGATGGCCCAAGCAGTAAAAGATGGCCCAAGTCTTTGGGTCCCTGCACCCACGTGGGAGACCTGGAAGAAGCTCCTGGCTCCTGATCAGCTCAGCTCCAGGCATTGCGGCCAATTGGGGAGTGAACCAGAGATGGAAGACCTCTCTCTCTCTGCCTCTCCTCTCTCTGTGTAACTCTGACTTTCAAATAAATAAATAAAATCTTAAAAAAAAAAAAAGAGAAACTCAGTAATAAAAGGCAAAATTGAAAAAAAAATAGAGAACAAAAGGAAAACAAAAAGGGTACAGCTCGCTGAGTGGAAATGATTCTTCTTGTCATATCACAAAAACCAATTAAAATTTGCGAAACGAAGCTAAGAGGTAGTGGCACAACAGGCACTCACAACGCCAACATCTTGAGCCCCAGCTACTCTGCTTTTGATTCAGCTTTCTGCTAATGTGGAAGCAGCAGATGATGGCTTAAGTACTTGAGTCCCTGCCATCCACATGGGAGACTGGAGGAGTTCCTGGCTTCTGGCATAGGCCTGGTCCAGCTCTGGCTGTTAGAACCATTGCGGAAATGAACCAGCTAATGGAAGGTCTTTGTATCCCATTCCCTCTCTGTCACTCTGCCTTTCAAGTAAAAAACTGGTCAAAATAAGTGCAGCAGTAACACAGCATACGAAAATTAACAGAATGAAGAACAGTTAAGAAAATAATATGTATAATAGAGTAAAAAGGAGAAAGGAGGTGAGAATGCCACACAGTTATTTTCCTTTTCTTTTTTAAAGATTCCTTTATATATTTGAAAGGCATAGTTAGAGAGACAGAGAGAGAGAGAGAGAGACAGAGAGAGACAGAGGGGAGAGGGAGAGGGAGAGGGAGGGAAGGAGGGAGACAGGGAGAAACTGAGAGAGATCTTCCATCTGCTGGTTCACTCCCCAAGATGGCTGTAACAGCTAGCACTGGGCCAGGCCAAAGCCAAGAACCAGAGCTTCTTCCAGATCTCCCACATTGGTGCAGGGACCCAAGTACATGAGCCATCTGACACTACTTTCCCAGGGTCAAATTAGCATGGAGATGGATCAGAAGCAGAATTGCCAGGACACAAACCAGCACCCAAATGGGATGTCTGCGCTTTTACCTGCTATGCCACAAGCGCTGGCCCTACCACTAGTTTTAAAATCTAATGACAATTATTCCCATTTAACTTCAGAACAATTAATCATAAAATGTTCTTTTTTTGTTTCACCTATTACAAAGTAATGCATTTAGGCCAGTGCCGCAGCTCACTTGGTTAATCCTCTGCCTGTGGCGCCGGCACCCCGGGTTCTAGTCCCAGTTGGGGCGCTGGATTCTGTCCCAGTTGCTCCTTTTCTAGTCCAGCTCTCTGCTGTGGCCCAGGAAGGCAGTGGAGGATGGCCCAAGTGCTTGGGCCCTGCACCCACATGGGAGACCAGGAGGAAGCACCAATACCAATATTAATACCAAGGCATCTAATTTCATTACGTAGTAATTTGTGCAATCTTTGTAACCACTATGCCTCTTAAAAAAAGTACCTATCTTCACCTCTAATAATTTAATACTTACCACCCAGGGCCGTTTTGCTTCAAGCATCTCAATTAAATCTAAATGGCGCTTTCGTTCATAAAATCTTTCCACATCTTGTTTGTATCTTTCATTCCTCTGAATCATCTTCTCTAGATACTCAGTCTTCTCTTTGCAAGAAGTCTAAAGTAAATATTTGGTGAGTCATTAGTTTAGCTGAAGAGAAAGACAATTGGTCAAATCTTTTAACAAGGAAAAATAATCAATTCTAGTAAAACTTCACAATAAAGAATTCCACTAGGGTTCTTAAGGACTGAGTAGAAGTCACATTCACACCCAGGTTGTAGACTAGGCATTATAATGTATTATCAGTCATGTGACTATGAGGATGCCCTATCACATTTGAGCTAGGACTCCTCTTGACTAAAGGTAAAAGGTATGTGTCCCATCCACTCCCAGGGCAGAAGCAAATCACTTAATATGGGTAAAAGCTCAATATAACTGTGCAAGTAATATACAAATGAAGAAGTGTCATAATGTTATACACACCTCTGAACTAAGGACTTAGAAATGAGATAAAGAAAAGCTAAAATGTACAGCCTTTACAATGTGAATCAGCAAATACAAACACATCCTCAGAACTACAGATGCATGCTGGTCTTCTTCCAGTAGATGGTGGTAGTTTAGGTAAGTGTTTCAAGTGGGAGTGTTAGATTATTGGATGTAGGGAAGGGTAAAAGAATCAGAGCATCAGAAGTGGTATAAAATAAAATTATAAAGAGCTCCAAACAACTTCTTTGGTCACTGACTCAGAGGAAGTATAATAATAATAATCACAACAATAATAATAGAAATTGTCAAGTAAAACTATTTACACTTAAGAGAAGGCATCTGTTTATCAGATTTCTTACCATAAAGATTTGTTGAATTCATTTCAGTTGCTGGGACATAGAAAAAGATCCACAAAAATAAAATCTTTACAAATCAAATGGTATTCTATAAAAGGACACATGTGTATGTATTTGTATATATGTATGTTTATTAAAGGTGAAAATAAAAAATTTAACACTATTAGCTAGTTCCTCTCGTGCCACAGAAAAACTTCCATGAGAAAACTAGCAAAACAGAGAATTAGCCACACATGTTGTTTTTTCCAAAGCCTTACACAATGCCTGGCACAAGGTGTTTAGTAGAGATTTAATCAATGAATGAACAACACTATAACTTCCTGAGAGGAAAATCATACTATTATTGGCTTTTTAAAAACTCAACTGATAACATATATTTACTAAAATTCATTTATTCTCACATTTTTGTCACTGTAAATGTTGTTAGCAATATAATCCTGGGTGAAAAAAAAAAATCACAAACATGAATATTATCAATGTATGGAACGATTACTCACTTTTCCACATTTAAACATAAAAAGTAATAAGAGACAAGAGAAATGAATTACATAATTATGAATACCTCTAGTTGTTTTTCTTTTTCTCTGAAGTTTTTGAGCTCACAGTGATACCTGTGCATTTCTGGAGGACCAATTGACTTCTCAGTAGCTTCAAGGAGTTCAATTTTGCTGAGTTTAGCAAATTCTCCAACTTTGTCCTAGAGCATAAAAATTAGTATCAGCAACTGTTATTACTTATAAATATCTTTAAACGTATTTCACTCATGATCATATACTCATTTAAAAAAACTGAGCTGTCACTCTTCATATAAATCAAGCATATTAACTGTCATCTTTTTACTTTAAAATTTATCTATGTAAATATTTATAGGTTGAAATGTATATATACATATAATAAATAGTTTTGGAATACAAGAAAAAATAACACACACCCCTGGACTGAAATGAACACTATCACACAACAGACTGAGCATTTGAAGTTTTTTAAATAAAAAAAGTAGTTTCAAACTTCTACTCTGGCAATACTACCAAGCTTTATACTTTTATTTAATTAGAATATATTTAATCAAGTCATTATTTTGTTTCTAGAGAAAAACTATAATGTAGTTAATAGAAATATTCAAAGACATTTTAAAGTCTCTGACCTATCATCTCAAATGTATTTTCAAGATTTTTTGTTTTTAATTAACAAATTAGAACACACAATTTTAGAAAGCTTATGTATAGATTACAAATTTTAGTGTATCAGTATTTTATGTAAATACATTAGTTAAAACCTAATAATAAAATTTTAAGTGTTTATAGATGGAAACACATAATTATCCAAGCCACTCTCTATAATGGAAAATAACACAATTTTAGACTCTTAATTAGAATTTTCTAGATTACTACAAATTTAGTAAGTATATTTTAAGAGTGCCAAGTTCAGCAGTAGGCACTTGGCCTGGTATTTAAGACAACATTCCACCTGGGTGTACCTAGGTTCAAAACTCAGCTGTGGCTCCTGTTTTCAGCTTCCTGCTAAAGCAAACCCTGGCAAGCAGCAGTGATGGCCCAAGCAGCAAGTTAGTGGCATCCATGTGGGCTACCTGGACTGAGCTCCCTATTACTGGCTATGCCTCTGCCACCCAGACCTTGTGGGCATCTGTGGAATGAATAAGCAAATAGGAGCTTGCTCTTTCTGTCTGCCTTTCAGATAAAGATATGCATTATATTTTTTCAAAGAGGGTTGTTGTGTTTAACTTAGATAGTAACCATATCCCTTGACTAGTATTTATATTTTATATGGCATTATAATTATACTCTTTTATAGCATTAAAAAAACTATAATTTCCCCATCTTATTTCAATCATACCTGAGGTAAGAACTGGCAAAGATTGCCCACTTGGATATTCAAGGCTGCAACTTGCTCTTCTACTATTTTTTGGGTTGTAGATTTTTTGTTGATGAACCAAAAGGATTGATTTTTTGCCACATCAATCTCACGAGTGATTACAAGATTTCCAGAAGCCCTGAACCTAATTAGAAATAATATAAAAATTTTTAAAGTCACAATACATACATTAGTTTAGAAATAAAATTTCCCCAAATTCTCTTGCACCAAAGATGCCAGATAAGATTATTGAGGGTTCCTTTTTTCCCTTTTGATATTTGGTCTCTCCCAAGAAGGAATCTTGACATTTTATTAGTAATAATACCTTAAATGACTACATGTCATTTACTATTTAACAATTAAAATTATTTAAATTGTTAAATCTAAAAAAAGTCAATGCTAATTTCAAAACACTACCAGAGGAGTCACATAGCTGGAGTTATTTATTCTTTAATCATTACACTATTCTTCAATCACATGGTTGACTGCAATTCAAAAAGTGTTGGTGTATACCTTAAAACATCCACTACTTGGAAAATATATGAATGAAAACTGATTCTTGCAAAAGCACCTCCAGGAAACAAAACTTGCCCATACAGGTAGCCCACGGCTTCCTCACTAAGTAGTCCACTTTGAATTCAGAAGGAACTCTATCACACGGCTATAAAGGAACATAAAGCAAAATAGAATCTGAAAGAAGGGTATTTACTTATTTCTTGCTTTTAGAAGTACTACTGCTCCACACCTCCCATCTATTCATCCATCTTCTTCACTGGAAATCAGCAGCATGTGGTAGAAAGATAAATTATTGGTATCCAATGGCTAAATGACAATGATAATTTGTAAAAATTGTAAAAATAAGTATATTGACTCAGAACACTTTAAACAGTAAGATTTTAGGACTTGAAAATACTATTAAACTTTTATTTCCAGCAGAATGACTAACAAAGAGCCTTTACTGATACTGCTGCTGTAAACAACTGCAAATAATAGAAAATACCTTCATAAATATTTGTATGAATTATCATGAAAGTGAGGACTTCTGGCCAAAATCCTTAATGGAGGTGGAAACCCAGAGTGACTTTCACCTTGAGTACATCTGCCCAGCCAGGTGACTCTGGGGATTCACTTTTCATTATCTCATGGTAGAAGGATTATAGCAAAGCCCAGAGCTACCAAGGGTGGACAGTCTAACAGCAAACCACCCCGGGCTATTCCTTCAGTGTAAGGCTAATAAACTAAAACAACTTCATCATCATCATCAAGGGAAACTGTCTGTCTAAAGGATGGCTTGAACTATAAAACAAAGTCTCTGCTGAGAGTTACTAATCCCAAGACAGACTCAAAGAGCTTCATATCTTAAAGTTACATCAAATACCTACAAGGCTCAAAAATCCTCAAGCCAAGAATCCTGTATATTGTGATTCTGAATTAACGTATCAATGGTTTCTGACAGTAGTTAGTAAAAATCTTCTGCAGGACTCTACTTTATCCCCAATAAATTAACACAAAGTTCAAGGAGAAAAGAGCAGCTCAATGGACACATACATGAACATGAACACCCACACCCACACCCACACCCACCCACACACAGCATTAAGAACAGCTACTTCTGGCTGGGAGAACTGACAGGGAACTAGGGGCTGACGACTGGGAGCCTGTTTACCTGACTATGAAATCACTGTGGCTAAGTGGGAGGGTGCAGTGTGTGGCTGGGACGTTGGGCAGTCACTGTGGGCGGCTCCACAGGCTTGGGGCTCCCTGATTCCCTGGTGAGGGTTACTACTGTGGGACCCCTTCTAATACCAAGGACTGCACGTTTCTTTTGTGTGGTTCTTGTAGAAACCCAAATCAATACTATACCCACTAGGACTAGCGCCTAGGCACTGGTCTCCTGTGAGGAGGCCAGTGAGAATATAGCAACAGAGCAGAACAAACCTCCCCTCTGATGGAAAAAAAAATTTTCCCACGCCCAACTTGGGTGTCACCTACCTTGGACACCCCTCACCCTGCAGTATTGAACAGAGCTCCCTGACAACATCCAGCACATGCCTCTGGTTATACATTAAGACTGGACACTTCACTAAGCCACATAAATATAGCCCAAAGATAAAAGCCATCATGGGGGGGGGGGGGCAAGTATCTCAAAAATGCCCAATAATAAACACAGCAATTCAGGAAACAAGAATAAAGAAGACAACATTACGCCTCCAAAGAACACAACACTTCAATACTAGAATGTGAAGCCGAAGAGACTGAAGAAATGCCAGAAACTAATTCAAAAACAATCATAGGATTACTTAGAAGTAATCAGAAGCAAATCCCTGAACTAAAGAAATTCATACATAACATGAATAAAAATTTCTCCCAAGAAATTAAGGTTTTAAAAAAATTAAAATGAAATATTGGGGGCCAGCGCTGTGTTATAGAAGGTTAAACCCCTCCACCTGCGGCAACAGAATCCCATATGGGTACCAGTTCGAGTCCCGGCTGCTTCACTTCCAATCCAGCTCCCTGCTAATGGCCTGAGAATGCAGTGGATGACAGCCCAAGTGGCTGGGCCCCTGCACCCACGTGGGAGACCCGAAAGAAACTCCTGCCTTTGGCCTGGCCCAGACCTGGCTATTGCAGCCACTTGGGGAAGGAACCAGCAGATGAAAGACCCCGCTCTGTAACTCTGCCTCTCAAATAAGTAAATCTTTTAAAAAAAATGAAATATTAGAAATGAAGAATTCAATAGAACAAATAAAAAATGCAGTTGAAAGCCTTAAGAACACACTCAGGGGCTGGCGCCATGGCGCAGTAGGTTAATCCTCCACCTGTGGCACCAGCATCCCATGTGGGCACCAGTTTTAGTTGCGACTGTTCCTCTTCCAATCCAGCTCTCTGCTGTCGCCTGGGAAAGCAGCAGAAGACGGCCCAAGTGCTTGGGCCCCTGCACCTGCGTGGCAGACCAGGAAGAAGCACCTGGCTCCTGGCTTTGGATTGGCGTAGCTCTGGCCATTGCGGCCATTTGGGGAGTGAACCAATGGAAGCAAGATCTTTCTCTCTGTCTCTCCTTCTCACTGTCTGTAACTCTATCAAATAAATAAATAAAATCTTAAAAAAAAAAAAAAAAACACACTCGGTGAGGCATAAGAAAAAATATCCAAATTAGAAGATATATTTTGGTACTGGAGCTGTGGCACAGCAGGATAAAGAACTGGCCTGCAGTGCTGGCATCCCATATGGGTGCCTTTTCAAGTTCTGGTTGCTCCACTTCTGATTCGGCTCTCTGCTATGGCCTGGGAAAGCAGTAGAGGATGGCCCAATACCTTGGGCCCCTGCAGCCATGTGGGGTACCCAGGGGAAGCTCCCAGTTCCTTGGCTTTGATTCAACTTAGTACTGGCCATTGTGGCCATCTGGGGAGTGAAACAGCGGATGGAAGACCTCTCTTAAAGTCTCTAGCTCTCTCTGTAACTCTTTCAAATAAATAAAATAAATCTTTAAAAGGTTAAAAAAAAAAAAAAGACAAATCTCTGGAAATTTTACAGTCGACAAAAAAAAAAAAAAAGGAAAACAAATAAGAAAACCATCTTGAAGATATGTGGGATACTATCAAACGACCCAATATATGGGTCATAGGAATTCCTGAAGTCATGGAAAGACAGAATGGATTAGAAGGCCTTTTTAGTGTAATAATTACAGAAAACTTCACTAACTTGGATACAGAAAGGGCTATCTGAGTACAGGAAGCACATGGAACTCCTAATAGACACAAGCAGAAAAGATCCTCACGACACAATGTAGTCAAACTTTCCACAGTAAAACAGAAAGAAAAGATTCTAAAATATGCAAAAGAGAAATGCCAGATTACTTTCAGAAGATGTCCAGTTAGACACACAGCTGACCTCTTATCAGAAACCCTACATGCTAGGAGAAAATGGCGAGATACATTCCAAGTCTTAGGAGAAAAAAACTGTCAACCTAGAATACTGTAACCTACAAAGCTCTCATTTATGAATGAAAGTGACATAAAGACCCTCCATAACAAACAGAAATTGAAAGAATTTGTTACCACTCATCTAGCCTTACAAAAGATGTTTAAGGATGTGTTACACATAGAAACACAGAAACATGGTCATTCCTAATAAAAAAGGTGAAAGCAGAAAATTTCCCAGTAAGAGTACAAAGGAAATCCAAAGTAAATATAGGAATATTTATGGAAAAATGACAAGGCCAAGACATATCAGATACTTATCAATAGTCACCTTCAATGTTAATGGCCTCAACTCTCCAGTTAAAAGATACAGACTGGCTGAATGGATTAAAAAACAAAACCCGGCCGGCGCCGCGGCTCACTAGGCTAATCCTCCACCTTGCGGCGCCGGCACACCGGGTTCTAGTCGGGGCGCCGGATTCTGTCCCGGTTGCCCCTCTTCCAGGCCAGCCCTCTGCTGTGGCCAGGGAGTGCAGTGGAGGATGGCCCAGGTGCTTGGGCCCTGCACCCCATGGGAGACCAGGAAAAGCACCTGGCTCCTGCCATTGGATCAGCGCGGTGCGCCGGCCGCAGCGCGCCGGCCGCGGCGGCCATTGGAGGGTGAACCAACGGCAAAAGGAAGACCTTTCTCTCTGTCTCTCTCTCTCCCCCTGTCCACTCTGCCTGTCACACAAGAGAAAAAAAAAAAAAAAAAAAAAAAAAAGCAAACAAGCCCGGCCGGCGCCGCAGCTCACTAGGCTAATCCTCCGCCTTGCAGCGCCGGCACACCGGGTTCTAGTCAGGGCGCCGGGTTCTAGTCAGGGCGCCGGATTCTGTCCCGGTTGCCCCTCTTCCAGGCCAGCTCTCTGCTGTGGCCCGGGAGTGCAGTGGAGGATGGCCCAAGTCCTAGGGCCCTGCACCCCATGGGAGACCAGGAGAAGTACCTGGCTCCTGCCATCAGATCGGCGCGGTGCGCCGGCCGCAGCACGCCGGCCGTGGCAGCCATTGGAGGGTGAACCAACGGCAAAAGGAAGACCTTTCTCTGTCTTTCTCTCTCACTGTCCACTCTGCCTCTCAAAAAAAAAAAAAAAAAAAAAAAAACCATCTGCCTGCTGCCTACAAGAAACATACCTCAACAACAAAGACATCCACAGACTGAAAGGGAAAGGATGGAAAAAGATATTCC